ATTTTGAATGTTTTACCTGTCAAATGTTTTAATAATACAATTAATATTATGTGAAAGTGAATAACTGAATCTTACATATTTATATACTACTTTCTTTTACTGAATGCCTTGTAATCTAAATAGTGTATTTGAATATAATTTAGAATTAACTGGTGTTTCATACCTAATTTAAATTTGCACTCATTTTTGTTATAATAATGTAAAATATGTAGTTTTTTTTAACTAAAGTTGTACTGTAAGAGCCGTGATTGAGCAAATCTTTAAGTGACCTAGAAAAATTGTGAGAATAGTTAGCTGGCCAGGAAATAATAAATGTAAATGAATGATTTTTAATAAATAAACTAAGGTTTAGGATTAGGATTTTGAGTTAGTATAATGGTTAAGGATTAGTATGTAGGGTTAGAATTAGAATGTAGAGTTTAGATTTCAGGATTAGAGATGATAAGACATAGAATTTGAGATTTAAGGTCAATATAAAGATATCAAGTTTAGAATTAACTGCTACATTAGGGAATTAGAGCATGCACAAAATGACCATGAAGTTTAGTTCTAACTTCAAATGTACATTTTGAATGGAGCTTTCATAATTAAAAGTAATCGTCTTAGTTCCGAAGAGCACCTAAATGCTGTGGTACCATCGAGAGGGGGGAGAGTCAGCTCTCCCTCTCCGAATGCTTTCACATGCAGTTGCTATTGATAAGCGATGAGAAATAGAATCCTTCAAAAACACCACACAATCGTTATTTCAGCGTGTATTTTAGATTGATAGATGGCACATCTTGACCATGGGATGTAAATCAAACAGTTTACATGTAATTTAGTGGCTCTCATGTATGTGACTCCATTTACATTGTACGAATGATTGTTATCGAAATATACACCCCAGATACCCTCACACATATTCATTGATTCAAATCGTGTTAGTGAATTATAGAATTAAATAAGTCAAGTATGAGAATGGATTTCAAGTACTTATATGTCATACAATTGTTGATCCAGACAGACGATCAAATAAACGAAGTGTAAAAAGCGGAGAAGCGAGAGTGGAACAAAACGTATCGGAGAAGACATGTGAGCCAATTCAACCTAAGCAAACGTGACTGAGCATTTATATCCAGACAGGGAAGTCTAACTCACCGCCATCTCGTAGCCAGGGTATTGTTTGGGAAATTGAAAGGACGAAAAGCGAATGTCAAGTGCTTTGACCGAGTTCGTGGATACGGAAGATTCACCTAGCTGAGTTGGAGAACCCTGGTTCCAAACGAATGTTCTACATTGGCTTTTGGATCCTAAGGAAACAAATTGTGTATGAACCAATTATTGGTTACCAGCTGGGACTGAATCTCCTTACGTTGCTTCACTGTTTTGTGGATTAGACCTTGAGGTCAATGGCTCATTGTGTGTCTCCTAAAGAAAACCATCTTTACCAGTTTTGGCACCTGGATAATATCTCAGCACTCACACAAATAGAATGATTTATGTGACGCCTATCTATTCGGTACCTCCTTGTACCAATATTTATGTGTTTAAATAAATAAATAAATAAATAAACATTGTTCCGTAGACAACATTCTATGTTGATATTATGTGAAATGACTTCACAATAACTTGAACATTTCTTATTGTTCAACGTCAACTTACGTTTAAATGATTAAACATAAGAAAAAATTATGAAATATACTTTCTCATAAGTCTTGTTAATTTGAACGCTTTATTCGGTTCCTAAGTTATTCTGGTAATCTGCAAGCTAGAACTACCCAGCGACCTGAACTCGAGAGAAAAGGCGCAAAATATGTGGAAAACACTTTACTGCGAAGGTTCATTTTTGTACACAAGGAAAAACACGGGCATTTATAGATTTTAACATTTGTTAAATCAACATCATATTTTAGCTTATTCGCTAAAAGACATATTATGCTACTGACCAATAGTGGCACGCCATATTGACATTCTAGAAAATTCCATCATGCTCTGATTGGTTAGGAATCTTGGGCTCCTTTAGAGCCTCTGGAGGCTCCATTGCAGTTCTCGGAAAGTCGATTTTAACACTTTCTTACATTGTTTTACTTATAATAATTTGTAAATCTTATTTGAAAGTTGCTTTATTTATTCGTTTGTTTGTATTTCTCAAATAATGACATTCAAGATTTCTACTATAAATTGTATCAACTTTGTTTTAATTTAATTTTTTTTCCCCCAAAACTACATTTCAATGTAACAAAATACGCTATTTTGTCATTAAGTTAAAAAAGAAACAACTTACAATTGAATATTTGTTTTTAACACAACTAGAAACAAGAAAAAAGTTGACATGACAACAGACATAAACAAACGATGATGATTTAAAAAAGAAAAAGAAAAACAAACAAACTAATAGTCAAGTGACGTTTTATTTTATTTTTTTTATTTTAGAAAAAAATCTGTCCGATCAGATGATCTTTCAGTAATTTTTTATTATTTTAAGAAACCGATCATCATTTAATGAAAATGAGTTTTAATAAAGATATAAAGTTAAAGATTAGTAACTTGAAGATAGATAAACCAAATATAAAGTTTATAATTAAAAAAAAAGGAAGATGAACTTCGTTACAAAACTAACATCATTTAAAAAGATAATTGATGGATGAACTAATCAGATTTATGAGAACAGGTCTTAGATTTAGGCGCGAAATTCATTCATCCATTTGGTTAAATAGAGTTTTGGTATTATAATTAATGTCAGTTTATGATGAAAACCTCAGTATTGATTTCTTTGACTGTGAAACTAAATCTCGGGCATGTGAATTCCGTAGGGAAACACAAATTTTTTTCAAGAATTCAGAAAACTCCACAGGTTTTAAAATCATGAGTCAGTTGAAGCTAGACCACCATTGAAAACCTGGAGGCACTGGACGGCCGTTTCGTCCTGGTATGGGACTCCTCAGCAGTGCGCATCCACGATCCCGCACCACGCGGGGCTCAAACCCAGGACCTACTGGCTTCGCGCGCGAGCACTTAACCATTAGACCACTGAGCCGGCATCCAACGGTGTTAATGTCTAACTTCAACCAATCCACGAAGTTGCGCCACCGTACATCATTGTCTTCAGTGAGTTGTTATCTCACAACAGACCGGTTGAACTCCACTGGTGACGGCTTCTCACTAGAAAACCTTCATTTAGAAACATTTATAACGAAACAAAAGTAAATCACTTTTTTTCAACTCTCTATGGTTATCTTACATATTTCATAATTTATTATAGTATTTTAAAAATTCGGATGTATTTCTGAACGTATTACACTGATGAGTAAACGTCAAGAAAATGTTTATTTATCATCCAATCAGTTTATGATCCATGTTTAGAACTTTATGACAAATACTTCGTCACTGTCGTTACATAGTTTATGGTGAACACAGTTATAATTGAGTATAGTTAAAATTACACATTGAAATTAATCAAGAAGCACTTGAATTTAACGTAGAATTGCACAGCTATTTTGTCCTAGTTAAACGCTGTGGACATTGATCAAATCCAAAACCTTATAAGAAGTATGATTAGTTTCAATCACATCAATCGAAATCCACGGTTTCCAGTTTTTGTTTCCATTTAACCTTGGTTATAATTTCACTATCAACTAATATCATCATTGATGATGGTTTCTGTATTGAAATCACTGCACTTTTAGAGCTTTTTGGATATATATTGTAAAACTGAGAATCTGAATGTATATAGGATAATGTTTGGCAGTTAAATACGAGAATGGATTTCGATTAATTATATCTTGTACAAACATTGATGTGGACAAGCAATCAGAGGGACGAAGCGAAGAGAATAAAGCGTAATGCTGAGCAGTGGAGACGAATGTATATCGACTCCATTTAATCAAGCTTTAATCAATATTTATAGCCAGATGAAAATACGTTGCACATATGTGATGAATGGGATAAGAAGGGCACACACATACAATTGTATAAATACAGTCAAAATTGATAAGCCAATAGTTAACAAGGTCAAAATGTAGCTTGAGGAGAATGGGAAAATTGAATTGTGCAGAATCTAGAATAAGTCTTATGAACTTCATATAGTAACTGACACTATAAACATTCACCATGTGGATCTACCTACATCTTAGGTTCAATGTATGTTATATCCGAACGAAGAATAAATGTGTAGTAACTACTAGGAGTTATTTATGGACTAGTATTGCATATATTCTGATTGAATGATTATTAAGTAACTATATATATATATATATATATATATATATATATATATATATATATATATATATATATATATATATATATATATATATATATATATATATATATATATATATATATAGTGTGATATTGTGATATTGTCTGATCTGTTTGTTTATAAATAACGTACATGGAAGCTGATATTTTTGTTCTAGACTGAATGGGTTGCATTAGACGAGAAGATACTATACATATTACCAAATAATATTTAGAGTTGACTTAAGTTTACTAGTGCCTGTTGATGCATTATTGGTTTAGCACAAGAATATGGTTATAGAAATCAGTATTATGAGTAGCAATTTTGTCATGTGATGAGTATTTGATGAACCGTACGACATAACAATGTACATAGTGAGTTATAAACCCAGCTCTTATCGTCTTCAATGTCGATACATTATTCATTAAATATTAAATTAAAAACGGATGCTAATTAATTATTAGGCATAACATTGAAGATTAATTATATTTTTGTATATAATCAGTCACATGGGATCATTTGTTACTTAAGATCAAGCAAAATAATTAGTATAATAGTAGTAGTAGTCAGTAGTATATTATGAGAATCATCAACCAATCATTTTTTTTTCAAAAAAATCCTAGACTCACCTGATTGGTCAAAATTTAAAAAAATATTCAATTGGATTCATTTGATTGGTTAAATGATTCTTTTCTAAAGACATCTCTTCTAAACCAATGAAATTTACACATGGACAAAATTCAATATACAATAATTATGATAACATTTTAAATATTATCCATTTAATTCATTTAAAGAATTACAAAATCGTTTAATTAAATCATAAAAACAAAAGAAAACAAAAAGAGAAAAAAACAAAAGAAAAAAGAATAATCATCATGGAACGAACTTCAAAATTAATGCATAATTTACGTTTTAGACAAAAACATTTTCATTCACAAATGGCCAAATTAAAAATTATTTCAATTATATTAAATTCAATATTAATTATAATTGGTATCATTATATTTAGTTCTGTATTATTAGTTATTAGTTATCCAATATGGTTAAAAATGTTTATATCATTACAAAAAATTACAATTAGTTATGCAATATTAATATGGATTGTATTTTTTTGTATTACATCAATAATATTAGGAATTATTGGAATATTTGCTATACAACGTAAAGCAACATTAATTTTAGGCATACAAGTAAGTTTTATTTATTTATTTTTTGTTGAAAAAAAAGGGTGTTGTTTACTTTGATTGTTAGTAAAAAAGCAAATATTACTTACTTACTTACTTACGCCTGTTACTCCCAATGGAGCATCGGCTGCCGACCAGCATTCTCCAACCCACTCTGTCCTGGGCCTCCTTTTCTAATTCCATTCAATTCTTGTTCATCTTTTTCATGTCTATTTCCATTTCTCAGCGTAATGTGTTCTTTGGTCGTCCTCTCCTCCTTTGGCCTTGAGGATTCCATGTGAGGGCTTGTCTTGTGACGCAGTTGGGTGCTTTTCTCAATGTGTGTCCTATCCACTTCCAGCGCTTCTTCCTAATTTCTTCCTCCGCTGGGTACTGGTTTGTTCTCTTCTACAGTACGTTGTTGCTTTTTTTGATGAAAAAAAGCAAATATACATCGTCATTATTCTTTAAATAGCCCTGAGATGGTGAAATTATGTAGTTTTGAAAGAATTTACCCAGCATCTTCAGTTCCAGTGATCTAGAGATTAGATGTTCGCACACGAGATCGTGGATTAATGTGGATTGAATTATTCAGATGATAATACCTTTTTTTTGAGTTGAACCTAGAAAATCTTTAAATTTTAAGAGAATATTCATTTAAAGCTTTCAGGACAAAATATACTACTTAGTTGTGAAGACTATTGTGAATAATTAAAATGGATTGTAGTAGTTACCTGCTAAGTTATGTGAGTAGAACTTTTCTTATTTCCTCAATAGAAAAAAATATTACGTAACAACTAACTATAATAATCTGTCAACAAAATATTCTGTCTAGCTTCAATTAATTCATGATCTCAACCATTGAAATTATTATAATATCCACAAAACTCCTTCTGATATTAATCAACATATGCTCACTAGTGACTGGCTTCAAGAGGTATTTCCTGGAATTCTAGTGAGAAGCAGTGTCCAGTAGAGTTCAACCGGATCAGTTGTGAGATAGTAACTCATTGATGAGAATAATGGATGTGTCGGTCAATTTTGTGGATTAGTTGAAGTTAGACATTAACACCGTTGGATGCCGGCTTAGTGGTCTAGTGGTTAAGTGCTCGTGTGCGAGACTGAAAGGTCCTGGATTTGAATCTCACAGGGAGGCGGGATCATGGATGAGCACTGCCACTTAGCAGTCCCACAATAGGGAGAAAGACCTTCCAGTGCTTCCAGGTTTTCCATGATGGTCTAGCTTCAATTGACTCATGATCTCAACCACTGAAAAATATTCTGTCACTGGTAATTATCTATCGTTTAGTTAGGGTCATAAAAAAATACGGTGAGACTATAATTTATGGATGACTTTTGAGCAACACTCAAGTGACCTTGCAAGTGTCTACCTACTTACAACGGTTAAATGACGATGATAAAGCAGTTTGAGAAATAAGGATTATAATTTACATTTGATGGTTAAGGTTAAGAATTAGATTTGAGGTTTTCATCACAAACTGACATGAACTATAACACCAAAACTCGATTTACCGAAAAATGGATGAATGAATTTCGTACCAAAATCTAAGACCTGTTATCATAAATCTGATTGGTTCATTCATAAATTATAGTTTCGCCAAAAGTACATATGATATGGATTTTTTTGTTTTCTATAAATCTTTTTCCTAATTCATGGATTATTTCATACAAGAAATTTTTGTGCAGTGTTATATGGAGGTGTTAAACTAATAACTACTGAATAATAAATATATTTTTACTATATCCCAATGAGTAGAAAAATTGTATTTCCGACGTTTCGCTACCTAATGTAAGCAACTTCTTCAGAGTAAATAAGTAACTACTGAAATTTAATGATGTTTAGTTTAAATGAAGTTGGTTATTTCTTGCTGGTCAGTTAGGATATAAATACCTCACTTCTACAAAAGGTAAGCTTTGATTTGTACAACACATTGATAACGTCGATAATTGATATGCTGAGTGAAGGGAATTGAAAACCTATCGAGATTGTATATATGATTTTTTTATGAGTGTTAACTAACTCAAAATAATCACTGACATTGGTTTATTAAAAGTGACAATGAAATACTATGGTGTCTTTTAGCATTTATTTTTGTCTCATCATCAATTAAATGCAATACAACTAATTATGTCTACACAAGAAATCTTGAATGGTATTTAAATGAAATTTGTACAATCTCGTATGTACTCTATTTTATTTTGCGGTAGATCATGTGACTTAAAGGAACAATTTTACTTTTAAAGCCTTAGTTTCAAAGTTTACTGATACAATGATTAATAATTACAGAAGGAAATATAATATTGATATCGGGTATAATCAAATGGTGAATAAACATAACCAAGCTGTTCAAGTCTATGATGAAGCACCCGTTGAGTGTTTATTGATTTTGAATTCTAGCCTAACTATAGTTAATCAATGCTGCGTAGTGTATTCAAACAAAAATATAGTTATATTTGTATGTATATAAAATACCTTCAACTGATTCAACCAGTTTTGTGATTTTGTTCAGTTTCAGTAAAATGGGTTAAATTTCACATGGAAGTTGACACATTTTCTCGATACAAAAACAGTCTTTCTTGCCTCGTTTGTTTAACGTTTTTCTATATTAAGAACAAATTTATTTTGTGTAAAGAACTTCCATTATTCATAATGATAATCTTTCAAAATAACTTTAACTAGTTTCATAAAACAAGTTTACTTTTAACAGAAACATCGTAAAATAGACGTAAACATAATTGTTAAAATGAAGAATTAGTTTTCTTGCCATCAATAAATTCTTGTAGAAATGTTCACAAACTTGAGTTTGAACAAATTGTAAACTTTTTGGGGAATCGCAAAGATTGTAATGTTTTCAAAGTTGAATTCACGAGTTAATCTGAGCCAGACCATCAATGAAAACTTGGATGCACAAGTTGGTTTTTTCGTTCCAGTATGGAACTCCTCGACGGTGCGCATCCTTTATTCCGCATACGAAAAAATTATCCAGCACCTTCAGTCTCAGTGGTCTAGAGGTTAGATGTTCGCGCACGAGATTATGGATGCGCACTGTTGATCAATGTGAATTGAATTATTCAAAATTACAATAACAAAAATAACTAAATTAAATGAATGTAAATTACGAACAACTGGAGTCGTAATCATCTTCGTTAGGATTATTATTTTAGTGTATAATTAAAATAATTTAATGACATTTTGAGTTTGAGATTGACCACGATGGGAGAAGTGATGAAATGTTAATCATTAGTTTTTTGGTTATTTTAAAAGGTGCCCTTTTCAGAGGAGGAAATTTGGAGACTGACCACATTCTAACAGATTTGTAATATTAGTGGATGGCTAACATTTTTCATTTCTTATTATTTGGACTAATATAAACTAAATTATGGCCTACAATTAATCTAGTATAGAAATTTTATTGTTTATATAAGAACTTTCGTCTAAATTTGAACGAATAGTTTCATAGTATTTAGGCGCTGAGTTAATATAATTCATCATTTAAGAAGAATATATTTGTAAAATCTTAGCGATTGAATATGAAGTAGATCTAACGTTTCATTGAGCCATCTGGTACAAGATTTTTAAAGCAAATATAATCAGTGTTTGGAATAGAATAATAATGACTGGTTGTTTGTTTAGTCAGATTTGTAGGTAGTCTGATTGGCGTTAGATGAGTTGTATATCCTCCTTTCATTATTATTGATTGTTGTTGTATTGTCGGTTTTTGTTGTGATAATGTATTTACATTCTAGTCAGGTTAATCACATGTTCTTGATCTGAGTTGTGTTGAAGTCTTGTAGAATAGACACTGGGAAGGGAATCTGGTGTAGATATTCGCCTAACGCAAATTACCGTCCCATTCGTAAAGATGTGGAAAATTGAATCAGTAGAATACAATTTAATGCATTTATATATATATCTAAGTATTTCATTTAAGGACATGATTCACTATTTTTCTGAATTCAAATATACATGCCAATAAATTATATATTGCATCAATTAATACAATAATTTATTGCCCTGATATTATAATACTTCGATTCTTTTACGTAAGGTCATTATGTTTTCCCATCTTTGTGGGGTAAATATGCAATTAAAATATCATGCTAATATACATTATTGTTATTCTTATTATTTTTTATTCACTGTTCTTATTTAAATTCGTTAATCATTTTATATTTCTTAGAATAGACTAGGTGTATTTCTTCAAAACACCTTTCTTTTCTAAAAATAAGTACGGTACTGGGTTCGAGTCCCGGAGTGAACACCAAATCTGGGGTGGAGATACATCCAGATGACGAGTCCCAAATAAGACGAAACACGCGTCTTACTGAATTCTACAGTTGGCCACTATCCATCATTGCTTAAAACGCTTGTGACTTAAGGCTATATCGAGGTAATCTGCACAGGATTCACATATGCCAATATGAGACTGATCAATTGCAATCCTAAATATCAATGAGAAGATACAAGTAAATCAACGCGAAGTGGACTTGTGTGTAGTATTGGAGTTTTGACTGAATATGTACAGTATATAGTGTTGTTATTCTTTTGTATCTAGGTGACTAAATACTCTAAATATTGCTTAAAATATTTTGAAAACACTTTTCAGCTACTGTTAAAGAATAAGTAGTGGTTTACAGGACATAAGTAGACAGTATTTAATAAATTTTTATTTATGTTTTATGTGTCATGATACACAGAAAGACATTAATTTGTGATTTAGAAGAATTGTAGTGTAGGTGAATGATTTAGGCGGAGTTTCGTTCTCCGCAATGATTTGTTTAATCGTGAGGTTTTCGTTGTCGTTCTAAATAACATCATTAGCACAAACTTCCGATAGAAGTGAAGTGTTAAAATATTCTCACATATGATTAAGAACTCCTGTTAACCTCAATTGTGATTGGTTATTGTTGACGCTTGAATTGTCATTCTCTGCATCTTTATTTTGATTTAATTTAGTGAACGAAGAATTTGATAGGAGAACCCATTTATTTATAAATGCACAACA